AATTAATTATGACTGGTTTTTTCTCAGGACTGTAAACACATTTCTATCTTTGTTCTAGTTGTAGCTGATAAATAATGTTGTTCAAACGATGAAACTATGTAAAAGCACCTGTAAAAAAACAAAAATTCTCCAAGGAGATCAAAAATCATTCAAGAACTGAATTTCTGAGATGCTTTCGGGTATCAAAATTAAAACGAACAATCGAAATTCTGCTTTTCGATAGGTATGTCCCAGCAAGCACTCGATATTTCGATTAGCTTCCACTAATCTAAATCATATCGAGTAATCGAAAATATCTTTCCGATGAGCTTTCTGTCTTCGAGTAGTCGAAATTCCGATAGATTTTGAGTCGTCGGAACGTATCCGAGGAGTCGAAAATGAATGTACGATGAGGAAATGTTTTCGACCACTCGGTATTTCGATGGGTTCCGACTGATCGAAACCATATCGAGTAATCGAAATGATCTTTACGATAGGTCTCCTCTCTTCGAGTGGTCCATTTTTCGATGGTTTTCGAGCGGTCGAAATATGTCCGAGTAGTCGAAAATAAATGTCCGATAGGAATATGCGTCCGAGCAGTCGAGATTCGATAGGCACCGAGGGGCTCGAAATTCGAACAGAACGAGAAAAAAACATATATATTCAAGTTTCGACCACTCGTCGCACCCATCGTCGGCTTCTCATGGTCTGCTTGGGGAGGTAATCGGCGAACAGAAGTTAAATAGCTGATGAATTATACACCGATATATTTTACTAGCCAAAAGTGTTGCTACAATTGGATTCTAGAATTAAATAAAGATTCAATCGATTGATTAAGAAGTTATTATATGACATCTCTGATAAATTCTACCTTAGAATGAGAACATAGACAGTTGGTTAAATCCGAACGATTTAACAATATTGACCAAAGTAACAGATCTGGAATACAACCTAAAGTAAACAATTTATTTTCTTCTCGTACATAGAGGATTCCAAAGTTTCCATGCAAAATAATATTATTAACTATTAAACTGTTCAAACAATGCGCATAGGCGCTCTTATAATAGTATGCTGCGTTTCTTGCGATCTTATTTTCTCTAAATTTATAAGATTTTGTTGTTCACAATAATCATATTCAATTACTATACTATACCACGTGTATATTCCTTATGGACCTATTTTTTCAATTTAATTTGATGTCCAATATGTCAAAATATTGTAAATAAAATCTTTTTTGATATGTACATATGAATAGAATTCTATTGGTTTTAAGTTCTGATCAACATGATTTTTACAAAATTGAATCATCTATTTCAGTCTAAATACTAGAACTTTTGTCTATAGGCTACGGTATGCTGTCGATGACTATCGGAGAATCTGAATTATTTGGAGATATCAGAGAATATATAGTACAAAAAAAATATCTTGGTACTTGTATGTGACAAGAATTTTTAAGTAACTCACGATAATTCATTAATACTATCATATTAAAACATTTTCAGTAAAAACTTACTCGAGAATAATGCACAAGTACAATTCTACTTATCCAGTACTGATACATTGAAGGACATCTTGTGGCAACACATTCTCACTTTTTCAGAGAACGCATGTCAATGATATTTCTTTAAAAGTTATGAATTATCTCTTGCACACTAAATTTAAATGCGTCGTCTTTATGTGTCGTACACTCCAGCAGAAAAATGTGTCGTGTTCCATCTGCTGACTATTCGTTCACCGTTTTATTATGCAAACATAGTGATATATAAACAGCATGGTTGAACATAGAAAAGAATTTCAAACTATTCTTATTTTCTAGATTATTTCTCGATCATTTTTTTTCCTCGAGAAAATGCCGATTTCGATCCAGGATCGAGAGAGGACTACCTTGAAGCGGTCTGATGCCAATCGGATCAACTTCAAATTGGACAGATCCTAGGATCTGACCAGTTTCAGTTTTCAGAACAGGAATAATTAAATAGAATTAAATTGAAAAAAAAAACGTTAAAGTATGATTTTTCTAAAGAACCAATAGAAAATGTGTCATGGCCTTGCTGAAGAAAATATGTCGCAGTGAGCTCCTCGTGTCGCACTTGAATGTGTCGTATAATGTGTCGCAAAACACGACACATGCGACACATTTTAACTTAGTGAGTGATTGATATTTTGAAGAATCAAGTATATGGATAGTAAAGAAGTACGTCTCAAAATAGGTAGAATAAAATAATCTCTCGATGATTAGCAATAGTAGCTACACCATATCTCATATTTATTGCGCAAACAGTCTTTTATACGATTAGTGAATATTCTCATAGATTTCCACTCTTGTTTTTGTTCGAGGATATAAGATTTTCAATTCCATTGATGTCCATTTTCTTCAGTTTTTGCCTCGGTGAAAAAGCAAAAGAGATTTTCTAATGCACAATACGAAAAAAAATAAGAACATAAATTCCAATCAGCACAGTTGTCAATGACAGTATATGAATGAATACGAAAATTTGCATGATTCGGCATTATACGGCTGTATATCCTTATGTACATATACAACCATTTCTAGACGCCGAAAGAGTCTATTCATTTTTGTGTGTTACGTTTCAAATGAATGATCTGATGAAATCATTCTCGAGTACATAGTAACAGATCACTCGATTTCGTAGATATGAGTTGTCAGTGAGAACAGTCATGTTACATATATTTTTCTTTATAAAAAGATAAGAATACTATAAGAATGTGTGTAGTATGGCATTTATATATTGAACTCATTTCATTGCTTTGTACTCAGCCTAGTCTCAGTCGTTCTAGTACTTCTTATTCTTTGAGCTGTAAATTCATATAAATGATTAGTTCTTACTAAATTAGAAGTTTATGATAAGAGATGACATTATGGTTAACCGTTGAACTTCTCTAAATCTTATTAATACTCTGTCTATTGTCTATCTACTTATTGAACAAATCGATCACTTAAGAAAACGTCCCAGTAACTCTATCATTTCACTAGGACAAATTGGTGCGAAAGCGGTGTTTTCAATGGTATTCTTCAGCGATAGAATCTGATGACCACATATTTTGGATTTCACCATGAATCCATTAGATCTATCATTTGAATGATAAAACTCGAAAATGAAGTGGAGTGGTCTACGCGATCTTACCTATACCTATATTCTTATTACATTCGTAACGTAACACACTAAATCTGTTTTTATTGTTTTACAGAGCAAAAAACGAATAAAATGGTCGACAACAAAAACTGTAGAGCTTGAACCTCTATAAATTTATACACAAAACATTTATTGATTGCTTAGTTGATACTACAAAAACAACGATGGCAGCCGTTAGAGTACTGAATTCCACTTTGTTTCTCTCTTTTGTATCATGTTCGAGACCGTTCTAATGCAAAGGATATTTGGGAAAAAATGTTCTCCACAGAATAAGGCAAGCTATTCGCAAAATTGATGAAACTATGTTGAAATTAACTTCGCAAGAACATTGAACGAAGTTCTACAAAAAGTTTTGCAAATCATCTGAAATATTCGTAAATTATCATCTCGTTCTGACAATTTTTTTGAAAACCCCTTATGTAATGCAAACATTCACAAACTTGGTGAAGAACGAATTGTGAAACCAAGTATAACACGATTTGATTGTCGAATGAACATGATTGGTCTGCCTGTTTCTAATGCATTATTTGCCGAATTCAAATCGATATAATAAGAATCTGTGCCTTCACATAGATACGATGGACAATCGGTTTCACCAAAACCAATGCCTAAATATTGTCCAGTGGCTAAATAAATAACGGAATCTGGTATCATAAAATGCCGAATATTTGTTGAACTTAAAGAATTTTCTTCGAATTTTATTTGATATTTTTGCATTACAATAAATATATCTTGTCTTCTTGTTGTCGATATAATATACAAAAATATATCTGGATTATTTCTGGTAGGTGGATTTACAAAATTGATCCATCCATCAGTGACATAACCGTCAGTACTAATGATATCGTTCCAGTTGAAGACTAGCATATTATCCAAGTTTGACAGAAATTGAGTGGATCGGTTCAAGTCACCATAGTTGTCATCTGTGAAGAACAGATAATTTTGGTAAATATCAAATTGATTTCGGAAAACAGGTAAGAAAAGCTGAAAGACTTATCGAATGAATCACAATAAATAAGAAATTCGTTGTTTCCGAATAATATCACTCAATCTTTGTTCTGTATTTTGACGTTTATACTACACAATATCCGATAAATCAATATATATATATAATGATAACTTTCATATGAAAAATGTGGAAATGAATACGAAAATCTTGATTCGGTTCGCCTGAGCTGAATCGAATAGGGTTATTTAGGAATTGACTTTAGGTCTCGGATGTAAGAATGACTGTCTAGCATCTTTTAAGGCTTAGTTTTTCAGGATTTATGGGGACTTTCTTAGAACAATCTTGGTATAAGTTTCTGTTTTGACATCGATGAAATCTTGAAGATCCGATTAGCTAGCACCGAATGACATAGTGTATCATACCTAATGAAAAAATAGGGTCATTAATTTCTATTTACTTTTAACTTATGCATAAAATTAAGTTGTCAAGAATCATTTAGAATAGATTTGATAGAATACACTTATTCATTTTTATATGGCAGGAATTTTAACATGGATAGTAATAGGAAGTCTTTTATGATGCATCAATCAGAGAGAAAAAAAAGAAAGTGAAATGAATCGTCATTGATGTAAACATTCAATTATTAAGTATTTCAGTAAATTGTAAATATTCTAAATCGATAATTATCGATGTACGGCAATCCTGCTATGTTGAGAATGGATTCGATGAACAAAACAATCAATTCGCTGAGAAATTTATTTATGTAAATGCCATGAGAGATTTATGTTATTGGAATAAATATCTGCTAAAGAATTATTTGATGTTAAGAAGCTTCTTATAACAATCTCTGTGATACAATATGGTTATGAGAATAATTTCAACAAAAATAAATTAAACTTTAAAAAAACTTAGGAAATCTCAAAAACTAGAAACTTAGTGGGCCTTAATTGACTGTCACTGAAAAACGCAAACGAAATAAATATCGTCAATGGTTTCTTATTTCGATTCCATCGTCTTATGTGAAATACTCGTTAGTACATGGTAGCATATTTCTTGAATGCTAAAAAATTATTGCTTTTCACATACCTTGTAAGTTCAGATTAGAAATGAATGCACCATTTTTGAAATAAATATCATAGCATATTTTTCGAGCAGACGAGATATTTGTATCAGATATATAACCAGTAGATAAACCAAAATAATTCTATGAAAATTAAAAAAAAATAAATTTCAAATTTAGTTTAACAAATTAACATACTAAATTAATAAAAAGTTTATTAATGTTGATGAATCGACTCAGTCGGTCAATTGAAGCTCCATATTTGATAAACAATTCAATGAAACTTACATTGTTCATACGAATTGCATTACTCAATGGTTTATCCAAGTGTAAGTCTTTCCAATCGTAAGCATTTCGATAATTTTGAATATCGTTTTCTATCTGGTCATATTTTTTCCATGTCATATCTAAATCAAGAGTTAATAGATATAGCGAAAACAATGTGTTCTAAAAATGAACTGACCACTCAGTTATGCTTTAAGTATGGCATCAGCAAATTTAATTTGTTCATTTCTTGCACATAATTCAAATAAATTTAATAAGAAATAACCTTTACGAGATGTCATCATTCGAATAAAGTGTTGTGTAATCCTAGAAAATGAATATTGTAAGTATTATTATACAAAACAAACAAAATTTCTTTGAATTTATCTGACGATTTCGTTAATTATCATTTAACATAGGATTCAAAGTTAGTCCTATTCTTGTTAGTATGTGTTTTCGAAAACACAAAGTGTTATGTTTACCTAGAGATATAATTCTCTTTCCCCTAGAGAAGAATCTAGTAAGTATAAATTGTTTGCTTGTTTGTGTGTCCGTACTTCACAGGTTGGTTCAAGAATCATGTGAAAATAAAAGGAATAACTTGAACTAAGTTAATCAAGGTGCAGAGTTCAAATCGAAGATTAAATTTAATTAATGATTAATTATTGGCATTTTGGGTGTGGGTGGGTGTGGGTGTGGGTGTGGGTGTGGGTGGGGGT